TGCTTTTATTTCACTTGAAAAACATGCAAGAAGAAAGATGGTGCTGAAAAATGACGACAAGCACATGACACCTAAAGCAGAAGCAACAAAATGAAAAATATACAAATACGTCTACATAAAACTAAAATGTTTCTGGACACCACAAGAAACCATCAAGTGAAAAGACAGCCTATAGAATGGGAACAAGTACTTTCTGATATGGGATAATATCTAAAATATATAAAGAACTCTTATAACACAATAGTAAAAAAAAATAAATAACTCAATTTAACCCTTTGCACTCCGAACCATTCTGGACATTGGCTACCAGGTACTCGATGCTACTTTGCGGCGGAAACGTGCATTTACAGACCCTCGTATTATTTAGTATAATTTTGGAACCAAGTAACGTATTATAATGATATTGGACTTATATGAATTGGGTAACATCGAGGAATGTATATTTGAAAAAAAAAAAACAATACTTTATTGTTTATAATTTTGTACAGTATGATAAGTTTTGTAACACTCCCCAATATACATTGCAGGCTGATTAGTGCATGTTTGACATGTCTGTATAGAGGTCTATCTGGAGCTCATCTTCACTACTACTTGTGTCATGAGACTCATTCGTGGTTGGACGCTTTGCCATTGTTCTAATAAAAAATATGAATAAATGCATGAGTTGAAAATTTCTAATTGTTATTACTAACTGACAAGATGATATTTACCAAAATAGCTTTCACCAAACAAGAAAAGAATCAGTTTTCCGATTTTCTTCTCATTAGATCTATGTGCACTGCTCAAAGCTTCAAACCAAAATGAACTCAGCTTTGAAAATCTTTTCCTCCAGATGTAGACTTGTTTATTTGTAATTATATATCTCACTATACAGTGCGCGCTATGTTCGAAAACCGACCTTTCTTCTACAAACTCCCCTTACCGCTCTTTTCAAGTGGTGTCGCGAAGTGCTCGGACCGTTGTGAGCACGCTTCTCACGTTCTCGTCCGACACAAAACCCGCTGACATTTCTTGTATATATCTTAGTAATTTTACGATATTTTGATTTAATTTCTTGTGCCATTTCAAGATAAAACTTAAGGGAAACATGCATGTCTCAAAAAGTTGCGTTGAAATAACTCAATTCCCCATAATCACTAATAAATTGCAATGTCCCCTGAGAGGGGACATCCGAGTGATATGCTAGAATTCCGATGTCCCCTGAGAGGAGACAGCGGAGTGCAAAGTTTAAAAATGGGCAAAGGACATGAATAGACATTTCTCCAAAGATGATACATGAAACGATGCTCAGTATTACCAGTCATTAGGAAAATGCAAATTAGAACCACAATGAGATCGCTCCATGCCTCTTGGAATGATCATCATCAAAATGACAAGCAAAACCAATGCTGGTGAGGAAGTGGAAAGAGTGAATTTGTTTGCACTGTTGGTGGGACTGGAAACTATAGTCACTCCACGTATGACGGAGCCTCAAAAAATTAAATATAGAACTATCACATAATTGAGTGCTTCCACTTCTGCAAATCTATCCAATGGAAACAAAAATCACTAACTTGAACATCTATTGCCACTCCTATATTCATGCTAGCATTATTTACAATGGCCAAGACATGGAAACAAACTAAGTTTTCATCAATGTATGAATGGTAAATGAGTTGCTCTACACACACACACACACACACACACACAGATATGCACACGTTATGGGGTATTACTGACCATAAAAAAATGGAGAAATCCTACCATCTGTGACAACATGGATAGAACTTGAAGACATCATGCTAAAACAAGTCAGAGGGGCCTCCCTGGTGGTGCAAGGGGTTAAGACACAGCACTATGAAGCTATCTGCGGCCACTGCAGCATTAGTTCAATCCCCAGCCAGAGAGCTAACCCAAATGGTGCAGCAGACCTTTCCTGTCTCGCCCGCTGCTCCCCTCAGCAGTGTATTTCAGTCAGTCTGCCTGTTCTGCTCCCCACTCTGTCTCTGGTGAATCCTCTCATCTCCTGCACCTCTGGCCTACCTACACCCCACCTCTTGTATGCATAAATAAATCTTACAAAAAGAAATGTCAGAGAAAGACAAGTATTGTATAATCTCACACACATATGAAACAACTTAGAAGAAGAAATCAGACTTGTGGGGGTACAGTGATTAGAAAAATGTGCTCAAAAGGTACAAATTTCAATTCATAAGAAAAATCAGTTCTAGGGATATAATATACAACAAGGTGATTATAGCTATATGCATGATATGTAGGAAAGTTGTTGAATAAATTCTAAGAGTTCTTAATCACAAGGAGAAATTTTATTTCCCCTTTTTTCCTGTTTTTTTTTTTTTTAATTGTATCTTTAGGAGAAGGTAGACATTAGCTGACCGTTTTACTGTGATCATTTCACAGCACAAGCAGACCTCACTTTACTGCACTACTCTGTTGTGCACCACAGAAAATTGCGTTTTTTACAAATTGAAGGTTTGTGGTAAGCCGGTGTCAAGCAAGTGTCTCAGCGCCATTCTTCCAATAGCATGTGCTCACATCCCATTTTAGTGTAGCATTTTGGCAATTCTTATAATTTTCAAGACTTTTTCATCATCATACCTAGTGTGGTAGTCTGTGATCAGTGACCTCTGACATTACTGTTGTAATCAATAACACAAATTGCACCATCTATGACAGCAAATGTCATGGATCAATGATGTGACTTCTCCTTTACCAGCTGTCCTCCATCTCTCTCCCTCGCCTCAGGCCTCCCTATTCCCTGAGACACAACTATATTGAAATTAGATTAATAACACTATAATGTCCTCTAGGTAGTTAAGTGAAAAAAGTTGTGTCTCTCACTTCAAATCAAAAGTAGATACCAATTATAGAGAAAGCATCTGTGAAAGGAATAGTCAATCAACACAGCAACGTGTCTTACTTTAAGAAATTATTAAGCCATCCTAGTCTTCAGCAACCAACACTCTGATCAGCCAGCAGTCATTACCATGGAAGCAAGAACCTCCATCAACAAAAAGATCACAGTGCCTCCCTAGTGGCCTAGGAGTTAAGTCTCAGCGCTATCACCAGTATGGCCTGAGTTCGATCCCTAGCCCGGGAGCTAACCCACATATGGTGCAGCAGACTTCTCCTGTATTGCCTGCTGTTCCCCTTAACAATGTATTACAGTAGATCCACCTGTTCTGCTCCCCACTCTGTCTTTAATGAATCCTCTTAACCCACTCCCCGCACTTCTGGCCTACACCCCAGTTCTATGCAAAAACTTTAAAAATATTTATAAAAACAAAAGATAAAAAGATTACAACTTGCTGAAGGCATATATGATGGTTAGCATATTTTAGCAATAAAATATTTTTTAGTTAAGATGTATATATTTTTTTAAAGCATAATCTGTTGGAGAGTTCACAGATTACAGTATAGCATAAATATAACTTCTGCATGTATTCATATCTCATTACAAAGAGAAATTTTCTTTTTTCATTTAATTCAAATATGAATTTTAACTGAACTTAATGTGGTAATTATTTGACAGTATATGTAAATCAAACCATCATGCTGTACACCAAAACTTATACAGTAATATATGTCAATTATAATTATTTCTCAGTAAAGCTAGAAAAATGTCAAAAATAAAAAGTTTTTAAAAAGCTGGGAAATGTAGATAAGCAACATGGATCCACGACTCTTGGGTTAAGAAAATTAATTTAGAATGGCACTTAACAGAGTTCATTGCTAATCTGACCATTCTCATTATCATCTTCTGGCCCAGTTGGGGATACACATGTCTCCTGAGATAGCATCCTTCATGCTTTGTACATTTTCCTTCTACCAAGGAAATTTTTAGCATCTGGTTGCCCAGCTCTCATAACCATTAACGCTTCCTTCAGGAAAATATTTACTAGAATTCATTACATGTCAGTATAATTAGCTACTGCTGCTTCTCCCAAGGATATTTGCCTGACAAGCCACATTTATATTCTGGGGTGAAAAGTTCTTTCCAACGTAAAGAATTCCTGACTTCAGGTGAAAGTGGTGTTTGAAGTCAGAGTGACCTGCCCTCCTGAAACTGCCCACTATTCAGATTTTAAATGAAACCCAAATCACATAAAGTTCATTTCCTATTTTGTGATAGTTAAGGAAAAGCATGTTGTATTTGTGTGAAGTGTTTTCATTTACTTCAAAATTAATGTGCGAGATTTGCCTCACCAGATGTTTATTGCAAGCAGTATAGTGAGCTTTTTCCTTTTAAAATAAGCAAAGTTCTACTTGCTATTAGACTGCCCACAGTCTAATTTCAGTGGAACATTTATAGGCAAGAAGGAAATGGAAAAGGATATTTAAATTATTTGAAGAAATATTTCCAATCTAGAATAATTTACCCTGCAAGATTATCATTCAGGACAGAAAGAAGGGGAATATTATTGGATCATACTGTAACTCCATGCAAAAAATAAAATTTAAATGCATAAAAGACTGAGTTTTAAGGCCTTTAATAATAAAACATAAAGAACAAAAAAAAAATAAGCAAAGTTCTTTAAAATAAAAAATAGAAGCACAATGGTAGAAAGACACTAGACCACCACTAATTTAGTTGTGATACAAGTGATGATGGAAAAGTTCTCACTTTAAGCTTCCAAGATGGTAGCACTAACCACATGTGGTTACTAAGCACAACAAATCTAGATGATGTGACTAAGGAGCTGAATTTTTAATTTTAAATAATTCAATCTAGTTTTAAATAGCCACACATGACTAGCAGCTATCATATTGGATTGTGTAGGTCTAATAATACTATTACTGCTTTAACAGGTAATTTTAGAATACTTTGCACCAGTGAATTCTCTCCAGGAGAAACTGGTAGAACTCCCAATTTAACACAGTATTCCAGCTGCAAACAGTTTATTTACTAAAACACAGTCTATGACTCACTCCCACCCCACCCCTAGGCATACTCAGGCCTGGTGCAAGGGTAGCCTGTGGGGGTGGGGGGCAGTACTTACCCTCTCTCAGTGGAAGCTCCTCCTCCTGCTCACTGGGGGAAGGCAGCAGGGGTTGCAGGGGCTCCATGTTAATGATGAGCTGTTTGTTCAAAGAGTGAGAACTGCGGCTCTGAGTAATGTTAGCTCTGAAGACAGACACAAATCAGAAGGTATTAGTTTCACTGCAAACACCAAACCCTCCATCTCAGCAGTTTCCCAAGCTGGGGACTGTCTCTAGACTCAGGAGAGCAGGCAGTTGTGAAGACCACATAACACTCAAGACACACACCCTGTTTTTAATCATGAAGATCCTGACAAAATATCTGTGTGTTCTAATGCAACACACTGAAAGAAAATGTATTTTCCCAAATGTCATCATCAGACTTGGACATGCTAAGTGACAACACAGGCAGCTGAAAAAGACATGGGAAGTAAAAACTCATGGGAGGCAGGTATCACTCAATTAGATAGGCAGAAAAATGAAAGAAAGGCATAGCTCGGGCCTCCCCTGGTGGCGCGGCGGTTGAGCGCTGGGCTGAGGGGCTGCCCGCAGCCTCTGCAGCGCCGGTTCGATCCCCGGCTGTTGGTGAGGGTCCCACATGGCGCGACAGACCTCTCCTGTCGTGCCCGCTGCTCCCCTCAGCAGTGTATTTCGTCAGTCTGCCTGTTCTGTTCCCCGCTCTGGCTCTGGTGAATTCTCTCACCCTCCCATGCTTTCTGACTGTAACTGGGTACAATATAAATAAATAAATAAATCTTTAAAAAAAAAAAGAAAGGCATAGCTCAAAGTAATTTAACCACCACCAAAAGACAAAAGCAAGCCCCCCCCCCCAAAAAAAAAACCTTGCCAGACAGATGGCATTGATGAGCTACAGCTGCAGGCTATCTTGCTCTTGCTGGATGTCCAGTGTTTAATAGCAATGTTTAAACACATCCTACTCTCTGAACAGCCATGGAGCCCAGATATGCTTTATCCTTTCAAAAGGACCACATGTGTGTCAGTGGCTGTGACAATCTGCACATGGCAAGGGAAGCTGTGCAGGTGCCTCATCAAGACAATTGGCCAGCATCTGGGCAGCCCATTTACATTGCCCGTTGCAGGGAGAACAGCTTTCTGACCTGACAGACAGGGAGGTGGGCGCACTTCTGCAGGGTATTTAAGCATCTTTCCATGCCCCATGTTTTCCTTAAAACCAAAGCCATTCTTCAAAGATGGTATCAAATGTCACTTTCTCCTTGAAGCCCTCCAGAATTGCACTCTTGCACTCACAAATCTCTTTCTCCTTCTCACACTACTCCTCCCCCTTCTTTCACAACTTACCACACTTATCACCTCTGTCTCTCTGTAATTACTGATGTACTGGTCAGCTCTCCTTCAATAATCATCTTCCAGGCAGAAAATGACCTTTCCATTTTCATGTATGTACAGTGCCTTGCTTTGCACATTGTTAAGGGGGGAGGGGGATTCAGGTTTAAAACTGATGTAAACTGCATATAGTCCTGACTTGACATAGTTGCCATTTCAGACTGGCCCAGTGTAAAGCAACCAACCCATTCCGGGCAGGTTTATGAACGGTTCTAGCAGCCACATGCTCTTCGCCGTTGTTGGTAGTTGCTGCACTCCTCTGTACACTCCACTCCTCCACCCTTAACACCGCACTACCACCGCACTGCACTCTGCTGCACCACCCTTATAAATCAGTCTCTTAGCTCAGGTAAACCCACTTCAGGTGCCCGCCATCAGGCATGCATTCAGGATCACAGGGTTCCCTCATCTATCCTGATGGCGGGAGGGCAAAAAAGCCTGATACCTTTTACCTTACCCTACACCCAGGTAGTCCCCAGGCTGATAGACAGGACTACGTTATAGCCCAGGCACTTCTGTTGGGCACGGAAGGGAGATGGGGACGATTAGGATGCCTGTTAGTGTCTTGAATTAAAAGCCCCCACAGCTGGCACTGCCTGGGAAGGAAATTTATGCGGGGAGTTTAAATTTATGCAAGTTTCCTAGGAAGGAAACTTGCTTTACCATGAAGTCATCATTATGTAATTCCACAACCACTGACTTTGCAACTGATACTTGCCTTGTTATGGGAAACTGTGGTCCTTACCTTCAGTAACTCACTCTCTAGAACCATAAGGCTCAAAGTTTTTTGACTGAGACTGACATTTAGAAATAGGTTTTATATCACCTCTCTATATTCTCTCTCTCTCTCTTTCTCTCACATACGCAGAAAGACACAACTAAAGCAAAAATTTCATGTAGCAATACTACCTCTTGCTATCTGTGATTCACTGTATGTTTCTATTTAACTTTGTTCAGTGTTGGTCTTCACCACTGTTTTCACTTCATGGCTCACGAATGCGCTACAGCTGCAGTTGGAAAGTGTTGATCCCATGGAGACAGAGGGCCCCAGGAGAACTGAGGAGGCGCATCTGACCCTGCCTTGAGTAATGGGGGGCTAGGATGACCTCCAGAGGAGGTGATGGATGTGGGGGGTCCGGCAAGCACAGTGCGGTTTATAGGGAAAGAAGTGGAGATGTCCTTGCAGAGGGAAGGGAGAAGAAAGAAGGGGAGATTAAAATTTCCCATGCACAGCTCCTCCTTTTATTGTGAAGGGTTCTCATTTTTTAGTTTCCCTCAGATTTGATTTGGCCTTTTGGCCTCCGAGACTGTGATTCCAGCTCCGCAAAGTGCAAGATGTTGCCATGTTTGTGTAGAACATGTTGCTTTTTGACCTCTGAAAAGTCCACCTGTCCATTCTTGCACAAAACAACTCTACATTGCTCTGCCCCATCTCTGACCAGCCATACCTGCTGGGCTGCCAGCACATCCTAGCCCCCAGAAATCACTGCATAAGTTACAACAGAAGGGTCTTTTACTCCCCAGTAGGAGACATCAGGCATCCTGCGGCTCCTCCCCACCCCAAAAATTGCAGTATCTGGCCTGTTGTCTGATGTTAGGACAGGTGAGTTCACCAGAGTGACCTCACAGGGGCAAGCCTGCCTGGCATTCGGGGGTCAGGAGGACACTGGCTTGGCCCCTATGCTCATGCGCTCCTGTGCTGCTCTGAAAACCTGGCTTGCTTTGCAGCCCACTCCTGTACTCCCAGCCTGAAAGTTTCCGAATGAAACAATCATTAAGATCTCTAATGCCTCCCTGGTGGCTCAAGGGGTTAAGCACAGCTCTGTGAAGCTGTCTGCAGCCTCTGCAGCACGAGTTCTATCCCAGGCCGACCAGGGAGCTAACCCACAAGTCACAACAGACCTCCCTGTCTTGCCCGCTGATCCCCTCAGCAGTGTATTTTGGTTAGTCTGCCTGCTCTGTTCCCCCACTCTGTCTCTGGTGAATTCTCTCAGCACCACCCCCACCACACACACACCTCTGGCCTGTGCCCCAGTTCTTGTGTGCGTAAGTAAATAAATCTTTAAAAAAAAAAAAAAAAGAGGGAAGCAGGCAAGTCCCAACATTGTACAATCTGAACAGGGCCTGTGAAACAGCCTGAAAGCTTTTCTAGCTCTACTTGAACCTGTATATCTAAACATTTTAAGGGCCTCCCTGGTGGTGCAAGGGGTTAAGACGCAACCTATGAAGCTGTCCGCAGCCTCTGCAGCATGGGTTCGATCCCCGGCCAGAGAGCAACCCATATGGCACAGCAGACCTCTCCTGACTCGCCCGCTGCTCCCCTCAGCAGTGTATTTCAGTCAATCTACCTGTTCTGTTCCCCGCTCTGTCTCTGGTGAATCCTCTCACCCCCCACACTTCTGGCCTGTACCCCAGTTCTTGTATGCATAAATAAATCTTTAAAAAAAAAAAAACTCTAATGAGGTAGTAAGGCTTCCTTTGGGAATGTGAGTATATTCAATACTAGTATTAAAATGCCATAAAACAGAGGGACTGAAATGAGGCTCATGGAGTTCCTGCACCACTTCTTGGAGTGGAAAGAGCTGTCGCTGGCCCATTACCAAAAACTCCATCTGAGGAGACTTTAATGTGTCTGTCAGAGTCTAGCTTCCCGTTTTTGGATGCGAGATAATAATAGCACCACCTCACATTTGTATAGCACTTTATAATTTTTATTTTAATCCCCATAATAAAACCCAGAAGTTGGACAAAGTAATACAGATTTTCCTCAACTTATAAAGAGGTTCCAGCCCAATAAAACCAGGGAAAGTTGAAAATACTGTCAATCAAAAATATACTTAATACTCCTGACCCAAAGAATATGTGAGCTCAGCCTAGTCTTCCTTAAATGTGCTCAGAATACTTATATTAGCCTGCAGCTGGGCAGAACCATCCAATGCAAAACCTATTTTATAACCTGGTGCTGAATAGCTCATGTAAGTTATTAAATACAGTACTGAAAGTGAAAAAGTGTCTGCAAAATAAGAATAAGGGGGGGTGGGAATTGTACGGGGAATATAACCAAAATGAAAATGCATACACTGTGCAAAAATGAAAAATGATGTAAGAATCATATAAAATAAAATAAATGTCTTCAGATTATTGTTTGCCCCCCAGTCACAAGGTTAACTAGGAGCTGCAGCTTGCTGTCTCTGCCCAGTGTCCTGATAGAATCGACCCCCACAGCACTAACCCAGGAAAAGACCAAAATTCAAAATACAAAGTACCATTTCTACTGAATGTGTATTGCTTTCACACCATTTTAAAGTTGAAAAAATCATAAGTCAAACCATCATGTGTTGAGGATCACTTGTATTATGAATCTTATAAGTGTGTAATCTGATGGTCTGAGAAGTTTTGTGACATACCCAAGGCCAGCCACACATCAGTAAGCAATGTGGCGAAGATTAGAACCCATTCATGATTCCCAGACACATGCTTGCTTCAGGATAAACACTACCCCTAGGGGTCCCCAGCATGGCAGCTGCTATGCCTAGGGTGGCTTGCACAGCCAGCCCTGGGCTCACCAGTCTATGCAGGTGATTTTCACCAAGTCATCAGTCTGAGAGGGCTTTGGGGATCTTGTCATCCATAAAAATCATGAGCTAACATGATAGTTAGCTGCTTCTCTTTTTGAAGAAAAAAAAAAAAAAGAAAAATCTCAAATAGTCTCATTCTGTCTGCAACTGTCTCTATACATACATATTTCAGTAGAAAGAGGAGTCCATGAACTTGTCACTTTTTGAAGCACAGAATTTTAGGTGGGAGGAAAGACAGCTAAGTAAAGACTGGTCATCACCTTTCTAGACTAGCAGTCCACTCTGAACACTGCCAGAAAAAAGAGCACACACTCTCACTTTTGACATCAAGGAAGACAAAATAAATTTGAAAACAGGGTAATTTTTCAAAACAAATAACTTTCAATCATGCAACTGGCTACTGTGAGGGAATGAGAAGCATGTGCACATTTGGAGGTATGAAGTTGTACTCCCCAAATTATATAGTTATGTAAACAACTGACAAAAATTTGAAGGGAAAAAAGAGAAATTGCTGCTGGAAATTTACACACCTTTGTGTCCCTGACCACAGTGCTGCCTCTTGGAAGGTCCAGGTCTTCAGGGCAGCACCTTGGACAGATCTCAGACCTTAGAAAATTACAGAGGTGTTGCATCTCATACAGCTCAGTAAACATGCACTGACCTCTGACTTTGTGCTAAGCACTGTTTTCAACATGGAGGTGGCCAAGATAAACACAGGCCTTGCCCTCCCAGAGCTTGCTTTGTATCATTAATTTAAACAAATTCTTCCTTATAATGTCAGAAATTAGGGGCCACAGCAGTGTCCTGAAGATACAAATTCAGTGGGCTTTCACACACACATAAAAGGGGGTAGTGGACAAAAAAGAGCTTGCAAGCCAGTGTCTCCAAGACCTGTAGCTCCTGTTGCAGTAAGATCCTGGGGGGAGTTGAGCAGATTCCAGAAAAGGGAAACTATAAATTGACTAATGCCTCATTTGTCATCCCCTCTGGTGCTTCAATCCACTGCAGGAAAAGCCAATTTGCTCCCTTCCTCCCTTTCATTCAAAGTGAAGTCCAGCACATAGCATCACCTGGAGGCTCATTAGCAATGCCAGATTCATTCATCAGAATCTGATTTTAACAAGACCCTCAGGTCATCCCTATGCAAGTACAGATTTAACAAATCCTGATCTAGGAAGCCTTGATTCCTATAAATTATGCAGACCTAAATTTAATAGGGAAATGTTTTTTAAACTCTTTTATAATCTCATTAGCCACCCATAGGAGATAACGATGGGACTCTTGGAAAGAGTCCCATATTTGTGGAATATGTCTCTGTGACATATGATACTAAAGACAATTTTCTACTTTGTGTTCATGCCATCAAGAGAACTATCTAGCATCAAATACTACTTTTTTATTTTTAAGATCAAACGCTCAACTCCAAGGTAGAAGAATATAACCCAGGACGGCCCCCTGGGGAAGTTCTGCCTCTAAGCTTCTAAGAGAATGCCAGAGGCTTGCAGCTTGCCAGGTGCTACAGAGACAAGCGTTCAGGACTCAGACACTGGAGTTCTAGGCTTAACTCTGCCATCAAAACCATTTATGGCCTCAGAGAAATCATCTAACTTCCTCAAGCCTCAAGTTCCCTTGTCTATAAAACAGAAGCTTCAAGGTAAGTGATCTCTATTGTTATTTCCAGCCCAAAGAGTCTGGAAAGTTCAAGTTATACTTCTCTTCTTCATTTCTACTGTACCAAATAACCACAATTTCAGGGAGAAGGGGGCTATGAAAAGACTATTCTCAATTTTAAAAGGACTATCTTCCCTAGTGAGTAGAATGTGAGACTCCTATGTCTTGTCACCATGCTCCAGCTTACAGCGACATACTGTGGTCCACAGGGGAGACAGGTGTTGCCTCCTCCCATGTAACAGCTTCTCACTGAGCCACCCTCTGGGACTGGATTATTCTCTGTTATCTGTAGGGAGTTCTTGTGAACTGGGTGGGAGAGGTTTGTCTGGATTCCCACACCAGGCTGGCTTAGCCACACTTCCTTCCACAAGACCATGGACTCCTCCTGTCCAGGAACCCTGAAGACAAACTAGAGAGGCACCCAGCTCACCAAGTCACCACAGAGTAGAGGCACAAGGGAAATCCAAGCCAAAGGGAGGGTCCTCCAAGTTCAAACATAAGGAGAGGACAGGTGCCCACCAAAGAGTGGGAACCTCTATAAAAGGGAAGCTTCTAATGGCCTTGACTTCAAAAGGTGGGAGGGTATCATGATGAGAATGTTCAACTTCAGATATTTAGTGTGTTTGAGGATTTAAAATGTACAATGATCTGTATAAATTGTGGTGTATGACTATAGCTAAGAGAATATTTCACTCCTAAGACCCACACACACTGCACACTGCTACCTTAATGAAGCAATATATACCCATGAGCCTATGGTGAACAAGTGCCTTATTCTGAGGAATGAGCGAAGAGTCCAGTGAGAGATGAGTATGCCCAAACTTTCCTATGGAATGGCCAGTGGGAACTGACCACACCTGGTGAACAGAAGCAAGACAGAGAGCATTCTAACAGGCCAGGAGGACACGCCTCAGCCAAGAAATGACACAGCTGTGACTCACACACATCATGCTCACTTGCATGACACTCGGTCAAATCAGGCTGATGACTCTGTATAAAGCAAGTAACTCAAAATGGAGCCCAGCTGCTCACAAACCATGGCCAGCGCAAATCTGAGGGAGATGTCCCCGATGGTGAGGGGGCTGTGCCTGGGGCCAGAGCCGAAAGACAACATGAGGCCAGGCAGTGGGGCACCTGTTCCCTTCTCTGTCTCTACCCCAGGAATAGGACTCTTTGTCCTTATTTAATCCCAGATATCACCATGCACAGGAACATTATCGAGTCAAAAGTAGCCTTTAAGCCCCTCTGCCCATCCCCAAAGTCTCCTGCAGTTCCCAAGAGAACACCACTCACCTGTGCACCTCCGGAGGTTCCCTCTGGATTTTGGAGCTGGCCTCCACCACCTCTTTGGCAACCCTACCACTGCAAAAGACAGAACCACAACATCTGTGCAGAGACACTCAGAGCAGGGGGATGTGGTGTGACATGATTCTTTTTATTTTTAACTTCACAATGGTCTGCCCCAGCTCGAGGCACACATAGCCCTCCCTCCGGCTCCACAGGAAGTTACGACGGAGTTGGAAGTGCCCCATGAGCATCAAAGATGAGTGGGGTGGAATGGGAGAACCAACAGGACAGGAGCCAAAGTGCACTAACTTACAAGCAAAATATTCAAACATCAATGGCTGCCCCACCCAGCCCCACCTTCCTAATGGAACCATTGGTACCCACCTATATCGAAATCTACTTCCTTTAAAAAATATCTTGCTGCTTGACACAGTCTTGATCTGGCTGGATTTTGCATACCTTCAAGAAAAAGCAAAGCAGAGGTGGTAGTGACATGGGCGGTCCAACAGGGACACCTATTGAGTTTGCTTCAGGGGATACTTTTGACTGCCAGAAAGAATGAGCTTTATTGTATGAGTATGCATGCACACACACACTCACACAAACACACTGGCACCTGAAAGAAAAGTTCCACAAAAGGATAGTAATTTTCACTGCGTGTGCTGCAACCTGAGCTTGTCCGTGCTGTCATTTCTCTTAAATGCAGGTGATGACCCATACATCTGGTTTCATAATACATTATTGGGTCATGACCTACAGAAAGGAACAGGCAGTGCTGATGACCAGAGGGATCCTTTTCCAATTTCTTCTTGAAATTACAGAAAGGGGGCCTCTCCGGTGGCGCAGCGGTTGAGCGCTGGATTGCGAAGCTGCCCGCAGCCTCTGCAGCGCTGGTTCGATCCCCAGCTGCTCCCCGGCCACCGGAGGAGGGTCCCACATGGCACGCAGACCTCTCCTGCCGCCCGCTGCTCCCCTCAGCAGTGTACTTCGGTCCTTCTGCCTGCTCTGCTCCCCGCTCTGGCTCTGGTGAATTCTCTCACCCTCCCGCGCTTCTGACGTACCCAGTGCTTGTATAAATAAATAAACAAACAAATAAAAAATAAATCTTTGAAAAAAAAAATTACAGAAAGGGTGGCTTGTGTCATAGTGGCACTTCCTCGTTGTACCTACACCAAGAGAGCAAACAGTTCCCGGTGACACAGATCATGTATCATGTCACAAAGAATCCACCTACTGTGTGTTACCTGAGAGGGAAAATGAGGGGCCCATGTCACCAAGGAAATGGCTGCTGAACTTGGGTGTATTCTCTGTTAAGTCACCATGGCCCAGTGCCCTTTAAAAGACCCCGCGCTAGTAGATGACTAAGAGACATGGGGAAAGAACGCTCAGCCAAGCACTGATTCAGCTCCTGGGCCCTGGCCATAAATAAGGCCCAAACAATAACACTCTGAACGGCAATCTGGAACACGGTGCCTTGGGACTCCCACAGGGCATTCGGTTACTGGCACACCTCAGGATGCCTCATGCCAGTCACTTTAGTCTTATGCAGGCAAACCCAAGGAGTTAATCTAGAAACCATATCAATAAATGAATAGATGTAAATTGCAAGCTCGGATGGGAAATACCCAATGAGAGCACAGGGGCCAGGGAAGGTGCCCTGAGGAATGGGGTTCTGTGCTGAGATCCAGGGGTGGGAAGGTGTTAACCAGAGCAGGGTGGTGGGCAGTGTCCTAGGCAGAAGACCCAGCAGACCCAAAGACTCTGATCATTGGAAACTAAAAGAGATGATGTGCATCCCCATTATACAATAATAATAGTTATTATTAGTACTGCTATTATTCATTCTCTCTCTCCCTCCCTCTACCCCCCCCCCACACACACAGACATTTCCCCCTATTTTAGCAAGTGCTGACATTAAGCTGTCCTTATCAAGGATTTTGGTGTCAGTCTGAAGAACAATGGAAAGCCATAGTAACAATCTTTTTTTTCTTGGGAACTTTTCTCCCATCCACCTCTCCAAACAGCCTGACCCACAGAGAAGGGCACTGGCTATAAATGATGAGCCATGGACAGTAAGATGAGCAGGGGCGTGTTGGGGGTGCGGGCGTGAAAGCCACATGCAGGAAGGTCCTGACACCTGGGACAAGGGTGCAGACCGCTGGCTAGAGCAGGATTGTAGAGACTACTCAGTCATCAGAGAGAAATCAGCATGTAAGTGCGCTCCTGTGATTCAAACACATGAGATAAGTCAAAAAGAGCTCAAGGGACTATGGTGACAGTTCACGGGTGATGTGATGGGAGATTTATGGGGATTACACATGAGTGGAGAAATCAACTATTGTACAAAAATAACAGCAATGTAAGAAAATAAAAACAAATGCATGTTGTTCAAGAGTTGAGAGCAACTCATTTTATCCTCACACATTTTATCCTTCCCATAGGAGGGAGCAATCCACATTTTTAGGTGAGAAAACTGAAGCACAAAAGAGTTGAATCCCCTGACAAATTGTGGAGGAAGCAACTGCAGCACAGGTCTGTCTGCATTCTATAAATAATGCTTTAATCATGCAGGTCATCAAGCTTTAGCAAGCAGCTTTTTAAACATGAGTTCTGATTCAGTAAGTCTGTAGTGGAACCTCAGAATCTACATTCCTAACAAGTTGTAAGGAGACGGTGATGCCCGTCCAGGTGGGTTTCCTTTGCAAGTATTACTGGGTGACAGTATTTCAAGCCCAGGCTACAGTTCATTCCACCTGGGAAACTGTCATTTCTCCCAATATCCACGTCCTCATCTGATTTTTGAAATCAATTTTATTGAGATACAATTCATATACCCTCCATTCACCTCTTTAGATTTATACTTCAGTAGGTTTCAGTATACATCACGAAATTTTAAAAAGTTTATCAAAAACATGTGCATCACTCCCCAAAATCACCCAGTACCCACTGCAGTCATTCCCTGTATCACTCTATTCCCTAGATCGTTTCCCCCACACCCGATCCTAGACAAGCACTAACCTACTTTCTGTCTCCAATGATCTCCTCATTCTGGATATTTCATACACATAGAATCATATAATATATGCCTTTTATGTCTGTTTCACTGGGCATCTTGTGGGGTAGCATGTATCAGTGCTTCATTCCTCATTATGGCTGAAGATATTTCACTTCCATTTATTATCAGTTCATGTGCTATATCCACTTTTTAGCTGTTATGAATAATATTGGCATGAACATTCTAGCGCATGTTTTTGTGATGACTCAAGTTCTGATTTAACTGGGCCTGGGGTAGGTCACAGACTGGTCGTTTGCAAAAACTCTCCAGGTGGTCCTAGTGCGCAGTGTGGGCTGAGGCTCTCTGGTTTGTTTCATGGACCTGCAGCACAGCATCCCCTAGCACTTATTAGAAGTATGGCCTATTGCACCCACCCCCACCCCCCAAATCCCCTCCACTTTAGACCTACTAAGCCAAAAGCCACATTCTAACAAGATCTCCTGGTGATTCAGGGGTTCCATACAAAGTGTGAGAGATGCCAGTTTAGGGAGCTAACCAGGTCCTTACATACGAAGTGTGATACTATTCTTTGACAAGATGCACACAAATATCCAAATAAGAAATTCACGAGGGACTGCCTTTATGCCCTGCAAACAATGCCTTACAAAATAGGGGCAAAGTGTCTTCTGAGCCTCTACCATGTCCCTAGGGCCTAGCACAAGTGCTTGGCATAAAACAAGTATGAGATGTAGTTTTGCCAAACAAAACAAAATTTTAAATTACAAAAACAAAACCAAAAAAGAAAGGGGAGGTGGAGAAGGGAAGGGGTCTGTAAATTGGGTACAAGAAGTCAATTGAATGAAGATGATGGAAATTAGGTTTTTAATGGTCGACAAAATACAGTATATACAGATGTTGATTTATAAGGCTGTATACCTGAAACCTATATAATGTTATATAACCCATGTTACTTCAATAAAATCCTCTGTCAAATGAAAACACCATGAGCTGCTGAACCCTTCAGTGTACCCGGTATGTTTTCGGTGACCCAGTGCCCAGAACCATTGAGTGCTGCACTGCTAGAAAACATAGGGCATAAAGGACACTCCCCAGTTGTGACCATCTAAGGCTGAGTCAGGATCCCCTGGGGTTTTGAAGCAGCAGGGAAAATCAGAATTTCTGCTTCTTGGCTTCATTCCCAGGCAGCATATCTCACAACCACGGCTTTCAAACCCGATTGGCCCCCAGCCAAAGCACAGTCATGTGTTAAAAGTGTACAAGAAAATTTGCAGGCACTGGCAACTGGGCTCCCCAGTTTCCGTGACAGATGAAGGGGGAAGAGGGAGCAAATCACCCCCAACCCAGGAAACAAGATCAGGGCCTGGCTCTGCTAGGTGAAAACACTGGAGCACGGTGCCAGCTGGACAGAGCTGGATACTGCCAGCTAATCAGCCAGGACCACTGCCTGGGAAAGGGATCAAGGAGTGGAAGAAGTAGGCATCCATCCCAGAGGTGAACAGAATCAGGGCTTTTCAGCATCAAAGGGATGGACTCTACAACCAACTCGCACTCAAAAATCTTTTCTCATTAGTGAAGGAAGATGTAGCAGTCATCTCAGCAGCGACCCCCCTTTATCATACAGATAAGGTTCAGTTTGTTCTAGGCCACGATGCTAGCAAAGGAGATTCAAGATTCAAACCCAAGGCTGTTTGTTTCCAAAGCCCACACTCATCTGCTAGGCACAGTGGGGCAAGCAGAGCATGCCTGCATCTCAGCCTGATGCACTCTACAGATAAGAAGGCTGAGGCTGGCCAGCATTAAGGTGACTTGTCCAAGTTCACAAAGCTGGGTCAGAACAAGAGGTGTTTCCTTTTTCCTAAGGAACAGGGATGGTTATGGGGATAATGGAGGAACAAAAGGTTCTGGCAAATCTCAACTCAGTGCAAATCTGAGGGGTTACATGTCCTACTGAGAGAGATGGGAGTGTGGCCTAACAAAGCAGCAGTGCCAATGGAACTGACTCAACTCCATCCAGAGCCACCTGTCTTCTCTTGGTCTTCTGAAGTATCCAAAAAGGTCTGGCAGTGATTTATTTGTTATACCTACTAAATTCAAAGATAAAATTGTCAGACCACTTTGCTGGCTCCCAGCTAACCAGTGTACCCCCCAAACATGCAAGAGATTCCCCAGGTTACATAGGAGGCCTTGCCTAAACTTTTGTTGAAGGAAAGCATTCTGTGGCTGAAGAAGGTTTCAAAATCAACATCCAAACCTTCATTCCCCTGATGATCCTTATCAGCCACACCCTAAGAGGTTCAGAAAGTCAGCATTTTTAGGGAGGTGAGTCCAAATGGGTAGGCGAGAATCTCAGTGGGGCGAGGTAATTGGGGAGTCTGGGTGCCACGTAGCCCCTGTGCTGGTACCCTGGAAGCTGGGCTAGGTTCTTCCATCCATCACTACTGTTCTTCCAACCAACAAGTGTGTTTCAAAAAAAGAGAGGTTGGAACTTAGTGGCAAGAGCCTAAATTTGAATCTCTTTGAAATCTGAGACTGCTACACCTTCCAGCATGATTTTCTATGATCCTAGGCTCTGATGGCATTCCACCCACATACCTCTGGCTCCTATGTCTATGTACTGCAGACTTCTTACTATGAACTCATGACACTCTCTGCCACAGGTTTCTTTTTCCAGTTGTGAAAACACATTCAACTCCTGCTCAGGGTAAGCCAGAAGTGCCAGGGAGTATTATCTCTGCTGTCTAAAGAGGACTTTAACCAAAATGAATGGAGAATCAGTAGCTAAATAGTCCCGTTTCTTGGACAGTCAGTGGCCTGTACTGCCACTGTCTGTCAGTTTTCTTCGGCAGAGCTGAGCCCAGCTGCCCACAGCAGTGATCTGCCCAATAATGCCTCCTTATTGCTTGCTTCCCCATCTCACTTCCTTAATGTTCTATTGGTACACCCAGTGTCTACATTCCAAAGAGATCACTGGCACTAACCTCTGCCTTAAAGTCTGCTTCTGGTATAGCAATCAACCAAAAGCGATGCTGTCATCCTTCTGTGTATTGCATATTATCTACAATAGCTAAGAGTTAGAAACAACCTAAGTGCCCTAAGTGCATGAAGATGATGTGATATTTCATACACACACACAATAAATATGTGAGTGTATGTCTACACACTGGAATGTTAATAAGCTTTAAAAGGTTAAAATTCTGCCATTTGCAATTCTGCCATTACATGAATGGACTTAGAGGTATTATACTTACTGATACAAGTTAGAGAAAGAAAAACACTGTGTGATTTCACTCATTTGAGGTACACAGAGAAACCAAACAAACAGATGAATAAAATAAAACAAAAATAAACTTTTAAACACTAAGATCAATTAATTTGGTGGTTACCAGAAGGGAAAGGGGAAGGGGATGGTAAGCTGGGTAAAAGGGGTCAACTGTATAGTGAAAGAGAGAAAGGACTTTCAGTGGTGACCTTAGTATACACAGATGTTGATTTTTAATGAAGTACATCTAAAACTTATTATAAAGCAATGCTACTCCGCCAATAAAAAGTATGCTTAAAAAGATGCTGTGTGTAGGGGCGTCCCTGGTGGCTCAAGGGATTAAGACGAAACCTATGAAGCTATCCGCAGCCACTGCAGCACGAGTTCAATCCCCAGCCAGCCAGGGAGCAACCCACATGGCACAGCAGACCTCTCCTATCTCACCCGCTGCTCCCCTCAGCAGTGTATTTCAGTCAGTCTGCCTGTTCTATTCCCTGCTCTGTCTCTGGTGAACTCCCCCTCCCGCACATCTGGCCTGTACCCCAGTTCTTGCATGCATAAATAAAATCTTAATAAAAATCAAATAAATAAAAAGATGCTGTGACATACTGAATGGAAATAACAATATAAAAAAGTCCCATTGCCATTCCATGGGAACACTCACGATGGAGCTCAGGACTTGACTGGGTCAACCACAGTTGGGACTTACCCTGAACAATGGATGTAATTTATGATTCACTTAAATATAATTCAAGGGACTGTATAAAAAAATGAATACGCAGCTATTTGCAAAATGTAAAAGGTTCCATGGGTACTTTTCAAACCTATGATTAAATGAATAAAAGCTACTTACTTATAAAAGGCCTGGTTCTCCACCCCACATTTCCAAAGATGTTTACAGGCAGCTGGTGTGGAAGTATGGAAAGCCAACATAGCTTTTTTCTAATAAAAAAAACAAGAAAGCAAGAAAAGGCATTTTAAGCAGTATATGTTTTTCATATCTTCCCTTTAGGTATTACCTACTTGCATCCTGCCACCTACCAAAAGAGATGTGAAGTAACTATGCGTTCTGATGTTCTGAAAGTGTTGCTGAAATGCTCTTTTCTCTTCTATCACCTTTTGCAGAAGTTGTTAATCTATTTAGGCCCTGTGTCTGATAAAAAGCAGCCTCACAATCCGAAACTCTCCAACCTCTCAATCAGTCTTGGATTAGTTTAAAATGCACTTGCCCTCCTTAAATAACTAGTGCTTGAACTAAAAACTTAGGTTCAAGAAAATCATGGGCCTCCCTGGTGGCACAACAGTTGAGCGCTGGGCTGCGAGGCTGCCCACAGCCTCTGCAGTGTTGGTTCGATCCCTGGCCCCCAGGCGAGGGGCCCGCATGGCGCGCAGACCTCTCCTGCCGCCCGCTGCTCCCCTCAGCAGGGTACTTCAGTCCTTCTGCCTGTTGTCTCCCCGCTCTGGCTCTGGTGGGTTCTCTCGCCCTCCTGCACTTCTGACTGTACCCAGTGCATGTATAAATAAATAAATAAATCTTAAAAAAAAAAAAAGAAAATCCACACACTACTCTTCATCCCAGCTCTGAAGCTCAGAGTTCCAGTAATGGCCTTCCAAATGCATTCACTGGTGAACCCAATCTACATCTGATCACTCCTTTAAGAGGCTCAGGACTTAAAGTCTCTGTTTATAAAACTCGATATCAGCACTGGCTGCTATCTAGCGCTGTAAGTATCCTCCACTGGCTTCATAAATCTGTATCTTGGCAAACCCTAGGTAGCAGGTTCCCATTTCTCATTCTGAAGACTATCCCAGTCTATTTTTTTACACATGGATATCTAGTCAGCATTGCTATTGACTTTATTTCTAAATGTGCAAACCCAGCATTTATTTGCTTACCTCTAAAATGTTTTCAGCATGTATCTTCCATTATCATCACAAACTTTAAAGTCATGATCTTTGGGGGATACAACACTCTCATATAAGCATACACGCACACCACCAACAACAGGTAATTAGAAAAGCAGTATCTGACCTCCTTCTGGGTGCCAATCACATAAAATGTCTTCCCTTCAAACTTCAATTTGCAGACATCTGGCCTAAGAAAAGAAAATCTCTTTGGGTGAGAAGAAAAAAAAAAAAAGTGGCAGCTAACCAAGGTACTGGCTTTCCCCCAGGAATCTGGCTGGCTCACAAATGCCAAGCAGACAGCAACGAAACAAGATATTATCTTATCATGGGTGGAGCCCTAATGAGCAGTGAAAAGCCTCTGAGTGAGTTATACAGCAATTTTTCCCCCAAGAGAGGATCCATAGGGAGCTCAGAATTATATATGCCATTTTTTTGTTTTTTACAGTTAAACTACACCTTTATTCCAATGAACTCCAAGGATTTCATGAACGTTAATGACCAAAACAACATTAATTGACCAGCCAATTTTGTGAAGCAGGAAGAATGTGGTTCTCTCAGATTCAGTTAGTGAAATGATCTGCATTCACATCTCTCTCCCTTCAGCCTTTCACATTCATCTCTAAGAAGTACATCCAACACACTGCAGGAGTTTCAATTCTGTTCTTCCTATTTATAAAAGAATAGCTTTATTAGACTCTGAAATGCTTAAATTTGTGAGGAAACTCAATGAATGACACAAAGCAGTCAAAGAGTGACTCACTTTCATCTTAAGGAACTTGATTAAAATCTCCCTGAAAAGTAGACCCTAGAAAAAGATATGTGCAAAGAGAGGAGAGAATTCTGGTTTTGTTCATCTTATTTCTTGGAGTAGTGATGTGCCCCTGTGCTTTTCCTGTGGGGTGAAGAACAGTGAGGTCATACTGAGTTATTTTAACTTATTAGAGGATATGTGAAAGTGACAAAGTTCAAAAGAACTTTTAAAAACAACTGCTAGGATTAACGTGAGAAGAAAATTAGTTTTAGTAACACGTACGTGGCTGTTACAAACACGTGTGTAAGCAGAAGCTGGGAGGATGGGGTTGGCATTAGGACCCCACTAGGAATACCAACATGTGTAACCCAGAAAGAACCCAGATGCACACATCTCAACTCTTTCACATACCCAAAAAGAAACTGAGACCAGGCAGGGGAGAGACTTGCAATTAATCTGCACTTGAGACCTGTCTAATTATAACCTAACTATTCCAGAGAGCAAGCAATCCAATACTTAACATACTTCAGGACCCCCCAAGTCTTTCGTAGTCCTAGGGGATACCCAAATTTCTCATGCTCCCCCAAATTCAGTAGGAATACCTAGGGAACTTATTCTGGAATCAACTGCAGGGTGGTTAACATACTTTACAAGGTGCTGGAAACTCAGTGAAGAAAACTGGATACCACCACCAAATCACACATATATACATACATACATAAAACACACATCACAATTGACAAAGCATACCTCACTTACACAGTATTTTATTTGCCTCTTCCCCATCTTCTTTCCTTCCTATAAGACAGTCAGATATAACTGAGCCCCCTTTTATGAATGTGCACCCTAATGCTCAGAGAAATTAAGCAATTTATTTAAGGCCAATAAGAGTGCAGAAATGCCATTTGTAGAAGAGAACAGATGGGCACAGCGGGGAGTTGAAAGTACGCACTGAGTTAAAGAGCAGTGACAAAGAGGATAAGAAAGGCTTGTAAAGAATGTGAGGAGCTTAGAAAGTAAGAGCTGATCATAAAAAAAGATAAAATAAGAGCAGACAATGTAAGGAGCAAAGTGAATGTTAGCTAACTGATGCTAATCTAATAGAAAAGGATTGAAAAGAAAGTAGGGGCTAAGAGGAGAGTGCTAAGTAGAGACTTCTTAGAGGAAATCCTGGAGCCCTAGAACCAAGAAACTGAGGTTCAGTGTGAGAGCACTTCCAATCCAGGACTAAAGATGAATGTCAGAACCAAGGGTTCAGGCCCAAGGAGTGAATCCACCAGCCAGTGAGACACAATAGGGTTGACAAACCCATCAGGGACCATCAGAGAAGAAACGGAATCAAGCTGACAGTATAAACAAGTTCACACCTTTATAATGCCCAGTGCACAGATAATGACAAGGGTCCCTCATGCTTTCAAAACCATTTTGCTCCTTGACTGGACATAGTAGACACGCTGATACCTACCCTGCTCCCCCTTCTACCTCTTTCCTGACACAACCTAGACTTTATTCTTCCTCAAGGCCATGTGTTCATGCAGATTATGCTTTTTCTAGCCCCAAGAGGATGGATCTTGATTTGACCCACTTAGTCATGGAGTTTCCATTCTTCTCAAAAGCACTGATTTAAGTAACAAATAACCCAATCCTGCTCAACGGAGTGCACAGGAAGTCTCTTGCAGGGCTTCAGAGAAGAGTACATCGTTTTTGACAGAAAGCACAGGGGAGCAGTATCTCTCCTGCAGGCTCTGGGGGTCACTGTATGAGGCTGTGGTGGCCACAGCTGTGAGTTAGCTGACATTCACTTTGCTCAGCTGAAGAGAATGAGCCGAAGTTAGTGCCCTGGGCTAGCAGAGAAGAAAATGGAGACACCTGAGTCCTTCAGGTCTTCAGTATTATTACCTTAATAATAACAACAACAATGATGATAATAAAAATAAATTCAAAGGCAGGAAAGACAAGATTAAGAAAAAATGGTAAAACTGTTTTCCAGAGAAAGACTCACCATTTTATCAAATGGATTCTTTTATTTCCCTGGAATACCACGAAGCCTGCAGCAGTGAATCCTAAAAATGTTGTTGTGCCTGTTGAATCCTGAAAAAAATTAAAACTTATTAAGATTGAGGAAAATAAACTATAAATAGCATGCTTATTCACCCTCACCCTGGGTTAATTTCAGGTTAATTACAATAATTATAGCAATAAACTAAATCCCTTCTAAGGATATGACTCCAAAATCTAGGTGAAGTCCAGGAATATGTACATTTCTCCTTTGGTTTTTTCCCTAAGATTTATTGTATAAACAATAAATGGGGTGTAGGCCAGTGGTGCAGGGGTGAGAGGATTCACCACAGACAGAATGGGGAGCAGAACAGGTGAATCTACTGAAATACACTGCTGAGGGGAGCAGCGGGCAAGACAACTGCTATGCCATGTGTGGGTCAGCTCCCTGGGCAGGGATGGAACTCATGCCACAGTGGCTAGCAATAGCTTGATAGCGCTGAGACTTTACCCCCTGTACTAGCAGGAAGGCTCCTTTTCCCTTTGAGGAAAAGAACTTCGGCTTCACCAGGGCTCTCCTGGGACAACACAGATCAGCCCCAAGCCACTATGTCTGCTTCCAAGCATCTTCTGGAGCCACCTGGGTTCTCAGATCTGCCTGTAACATGGGCAAACTGTTCTCCGCTGCATTAGTGCTGAAACCGAGGCTACAATAAAACCCAAGACCCAAGCATCTAACTTGACTCAACCCCACACATGATTTCTGGCAATCTCAGTATAAACATATGCCCAGAAATGCCCCAGCCTCAGAGAGAAAAACAGCATTTCATAGATAAGTGAAGGCAAAGGAACAACAATGAAATCAAGTCAGTCTCTGAATAATAAATAAAATAAACAGAGAGGCTCAAATGTTAGGTAAAATCTAATTCACTGAATGGAATATCTAATTATACCATGACTAGGAAGGGGCATCTGGCAAATATTCTAAAATAGCTGTGTGAACACAGCAAAATGCTCAGCCCAGGACCACAGGCTCTCTTCTGTGGCTGCATATGGGGATCATCTGGGAGCCTGGTCTCCATCCTCACAGATGCTGATGGATTGGGCCCCAGGAGTTGGTGAAGCTTTCAGATGCTCTAGGGAGAAGTCAGCTGAGAACTGTAAGACTAGAACTTTACCATATACTACCAGCTGGTCACACCTGGGTAAACAGCCCAGTCTGACTCAATAACATACCTTTAACACCTTGACTGATACAAATGTTTCATCTAGGATTCAGGGTGGTGTCTAGTTGATGCTTAGTGCAGGGCATGGAAGGGAGAACACTGCCTTCATAATATGTTGGAAAATGTGTACATGAGAATCACCTTGGGAGCTTTCTCAAAAGGCAGCCTCCCCAGTTGCACCCCCCACAGGTTAGATTCAGTGGCTCTGGGGTGGGGCCCCGGTGATACTGACATATGTGGTCTATGTTCACGCTTGAGAGAAATATTGTCAAATAATGAGTAAAAGTTCCCACCCACCCCATCAGAAAGGAGAACTTTCTTTTTGGAATAACTGAATGGGTTAGCTGGGAGGCTGGGAATGCTCAAAGAAATGCTCAACAAATACTCTCCTTTTTCTTCCACATTTCCATTGTTTAAGGCTGCATTCTTGTTGGCAATGGCCTTGAAACTAAATCTCTTAGGATCCTATAATTTTTTCTGTGGTAAAACCACCCATTTAATGTATGTTAATTTAGGAAAATGTGGCTACCACATAGCAATTAACAAGTAACTGAAAGACTCCAATGGATAAAGTCAACCGCCGAAGCTTATGACCGAAGCTCACCTCTGTCCCTTCCAATTAGGGGCAGTGGATCAGGTTGTGGAAATGTTCTAGGGGGCTAACAGGCCTGCACAAAAGCAACTCTTTGGAGCAAAATAATCAGCATCTGTCAACCTGCTATGAGGTGCAATTACCTTGCATGGGTGGGGATCTACCCCATAGGTTTCCAAAGTGTGAGCTTTCAAAAGTAAATTAAATTCAGCAACCGGTGGACTCTGGCCTCTAAAATCACAAAAGGAAAGTTTAGGGCATTAATATGGAAAATGATAGAAACACAGCATCCCTTAATTCAATAAAATGATATCCTACTACAGAGAGAAATCCCTACATAAACAGTAATCAGTAAGACTGATCATTATTTCTCACCACAAGAAGCCCTTTGCTAAGATATCTGACCTTATGTTTTTGGCTAATTGTTCCATAATAAATCCACAAGTACTCTGAGGACTCCAGTGACCTGTAAAGTCAATCAAGGTTATCAAGTTAACAATAAGTAGGTCCTTGCAAATTCAATCTTAATATGAAATAAAATTCAGCATCAGTTTTTTCCCACTTATTTAAAAAGTATATCTATAGTAAAAAGGCACTTATACTTGTTCAGGGAAGAAAGTGGACAGCCCTGTTATCCCACCAACAAGCCCCAACAGAGCCATGTGGGTAAGAACTGTCAGCCATTCATTCCAGTGGCAAGCCCTGGGATTTGAAAGGAAATCTGTCATTAGTCCCAGCAATGTCCTTGAGGGTGGTAAACAAGGTCTTGGCCTCAGGAGGGTAAAAGGGGCTACAAATATAGATGACTGTGAAAAGCCCTTTTGGGGCTATCTTCCAAACCAGGACCTGTGAGACATTTCAGACTGCACTTCAACAAACATTAATGTTCCGCGTATATCTTGGGAAATCTGAGCCATTCCTCAGAGATAAATATATAACAGCCAAGAGAAATTTGCTAAGGAAAACAGGAATTTATTTTTATTTTCAAAACATAAAATTATATTGCAATATATTGCTTCTCCCCAAAGATGGATATTTCCTTTAGTACCTTAAGATAGCCAAGAATCACCACACTCCAAAATCAAAAACAGCACCCCATCTACCTTCTCTCTAAAGACTTTTGAGATCTTCTCTTTACCCTGAATGTACTGAAATTTCACTCTGGTATGTCTGAGGAGCATCTTTATTCATGATAAGCGCTGGGGAAACTTTTAATCCAACAATTCATATCTTTCCTACCATTTCTTCAATCTTTTTTTCCCTTTGCACCTCGTCCATTTCACTCTTTTTTTGTTTTTGTAATTTTATTTTTATATTCCCCATACAATTTCACTCTTCTTTTCTTGAATAGACCTTAGTAAATGGACTTTGAAATTCCTAGCTCTATCCTCCATGGCTTTTTTTTTTTTAAAGATTCATTTATTTATTTGTTTGTTTATTTATTTATTTATTTATGTATACAAGCACCGGGTACAGTCAGAAGCGCGGGAGGGTGAGAGAATTCACCAGAGCCAGAGTGGGGAGCAGAGCAGGCAGAAGGACCGAAGCACACTGCTGAGGGGAGCAGCGGGTGGCAGGAGAGGTCTGCGCGCCATGTGGGACCCTCCTCCGGTGGCTGGGAGCAGCTGGGGATCGAACCGGCGCTGCAGAGGCTGCGGGCAGCTTCACAACCCAGCGTTCAACCACTGCGCCACCAGGGAGGCCCCCTCCATGTCTTTTAACCTTTGTTTTTCTTTTAATCACTAACTATGTATACTAGTCTAGATTCTTTTTACTTCAAACATCCAGCTTGCTCTCCTGCACACATTCTGTTTTTCACCTCATTTGAGTTTCTTAAATATCAGTTAATATTCCATTTCCAATGTAATGAGTACAGACATAGTCTTAAGATTGTTGCCTGTTTTTATTATGGAATAAATTCCTCTTATTCCTCTGAGGATATTTGCTTCAATTCTTTAAAAGTCTCCATTAATCCTCTTTGCTCCATTAATACCACATCCTTGGAGAGGTCCTTTGGTTTGCTGCATTAGTTTCATTTATTGAGTTTGCATTTCTTTACAGGTTTGGTGAATCTTGGCTGGATGCTCATCTTCCTGTCTAACACAATGGTCCCCAAAGGTTGCAGGGAAGGGTGGGGATCGCCATCTGGGAAGAGTCAGTAACTTGATCGAGGCTCACGTTTTAGTTCCTATGGCCACACACAGCACACCTCCATCTCGAGTCTGCTGCTGCCTATGACTTAACACAACTAGAAGAAGGGGTGAAAGCTGCCCCCTGCTTCAAATGTTCTTGCCCATAACCATAATGGCCACCCTATGTATCTGTTGCCCGAGGCACCTAAAACACTCCCAGCCTATGTGTGTTTGCCCTGGATTCTTTGTTTCCTATCTCCAGAGAAACCTCCAAAAATGGCATTCTTTTTGTGTCCACTTTCTAATACTTTTCCAATTATCCATAGGATTGGAGAAGGAAGGGGAGGTAGCAACATATGCTATCTTTTTCTTTTAATAGAAAAATTTTAATCCATTCCTTACAGAATATATTGCTGAGGAATTAACTCAAATACCTGCTTTAGGAAAATGAAGTCTCTCTTAAGCCTTTTCAGATTTCCTCTTTAGTCTCAGTGTTCTGAAACGGCATATCTTTATGGAACATCCTTATTTATTAATCCTGATCAGCACTGCATGAACTCTTTCAATCCAACAACTCTCCTGAATAATCTGATTCCTTTTTTTCAAGTCAGAGTCATTATCATTATTTCTCTTTTTGATGAATTAACAACAAACCCAAGAGAGTTACCAATGTCACTGATGCAGTGGAGAAAGGGATTTTTCTCCAACTTTTCTCAACACATAAAAGATATTTTTCTCTCCACAGCTTACTCATAGATTCCTAAATATCTTATTTTTAACCTGAAAATGATAATTTTAATAGATAACCAAGAGTTATTTTTTATAAATTCATGACTATAAACAAATATGCTATATTTCAATTTATTGCTCAAATTTTTGGCCAGTGAGAACCTGTTCAAATCGAGTCAATAGTTCTCTTTGTATGACTTTGTATGACTTTCTTGAGTACTCTTTGCCCTGCTCTTGAAATTAACTGTTTCTCTAAGAGCCCAGCTTCCTTTTAATAAGAAATAGTATAAGAGAACAGTCCTGGATGCTCTGGGAGGACATCATTACTGGGCTGGCCATTGTTTCTAACCTTTGTTTTTTGGTTTTATAGATTTTTTTTAATTTTTATGGAGAAATAATTGACATATAAGGTTATATTGGCTTCAGGTATACAAAATAATGATTTAGTATTTGTATGCTTTGGGAAATGATCACCAATGATTCCAGTTTCTATCTGTCACCATAAGTTTTTATAAATGTTAGGCGATTCTTAGCTGGATGCTCATCTTTGTATGTAATCAGTCTATCACAGTCTATCCAGAGGTTGTAGGAGAGAGTAGGATGCAGCATATGGAAAAAAAAATTAGGATTACTCTAAAGATAATTATTGAACCCAAATATTAGACACTTTCTCCACCCCTCATCTCACCCACTCATCTCACTCCCCAGACTAGGAACAAAGCAGAGCTGAGCTATTCAGCATATCACTAAGTATCCCTACTCAATCTGATGAGCCAGACTGACAGTAAACCAGGACCTAAGCCAAAGCAGCTCAGTGCCTCCAACATTGGAGGAAAAATGGGCAAAAGATTTAATAGCCTCTTTACAAAATAAGAATTGGATGGACTATGGGTGTTTTGCTGGTGGGAGAACTAAGGTGACCACACCTGACAGGTAAAATCACATATTGTCTAAAAGTTAACAGTGATGTAAAATAAAAAGTACTAAATTTAAAAAGTTAAATAAAAATGAATTCCAAGTGGTCAACAACTATATGAAAATGTGATCTTTCTGATGAGGAAAATGCAAATTAAAATACCTGGAAATCATTTACAAATCCATCTGGTAGCTAAAACTAAAAAGACAGTAGCACCAAGCACTTGTGAAGATAGGCAGCAAAAGTAATTCTCATGTACAGCTGGTGGAACAGTATTTTGATACACCTATCTGAGAAAGTGGCATTCTCTACTGAATTTAAACATATTAATCTTAAATACAGAAATTCCATTCATTGTTATATATGCAACATAGACAGTATAGGTTGCACCAAGAAAAATACAGAATGTTCATAGTAGAACCACTTGTAATAAAAAAAAAAAACAACTCAAATGTCTATCAACAGACAAATGAATACTATACAGCTATGAAACTGAATGAATGAAAGCTAAACACAGGATAGGTGACTACCACAAAAATAAAACTGAACAAAAGAAGTCAAACATAAATGAACATAGAATTAATTCTACTTATATGGTGTTCAAAAATGAGCAAAATGAAGCTAACATATTAAAAATCAGAGATGTGATTCCCTTTGGGAAAGAGGAAGAAAGTAAATCTTGGGACGAAGAATAACAGGTGCTTCTGAGGTGTAATTAATTTTCTTTGACCTAGGTGGTGGCTACATATGTGCTTGCTTTGTAATAATTCACTGAACCTTCACATTTATGTCTCACACATTTTTCTGAATTTGGACTACACTTTAATTTTTAAGAGTTTAATAAAAAAGAAAAAAGCATGGGAAGTACTAAGAGCCCTCATATATTGTTAGTGTGAGTGTAGGCTGGAGAATCCTTCAGCATACAAGATACCATTTCCTAATAAAGTTGAAATGGTGCAGAATTTATGGCCCTGCACACTCTGGACCCCTGCCTGGTTTTGTGCAGTTCTCAAGCAAAGAATGGTTTTAGCATTTTTAAATCATTTAAAATAACAAATGAAGAATAATATTTCATTATCCTTGAAAACTATGTGTCCATAAATAAAGTTTAATTAAATCATAGTAATGCACATTTGCTTGCACACTCACTAAGTGCTCTGCCACAGTGGCAAAGTGAGTGGTTGCAACAGAAACCACATGTTCTGCAAAACCTAAACTCTTTACTCTCAGGCCCTATATATACAAAGTTTGCTGAACCCTGATCTGGGAACAGAAGACAGGAATAGAGACCAATATAGCTGTTTCTCTTTGATCCATAAAATGAAGTTAAAATAATACTTACCTCCAAGATAAAGTATAAAGATTAAATAGATAAGAGATACAAAATAGACTAGTGCCTGGCACAGACTATGCTCTCTCCTTGCTCTCAGAATAGCTTTAGTTCCCTTGCTAGC